CCCAGCATGAGCTACACAGCAAACCGTAGTTGGCTGCTACTTGTGCTGGGCTTGGAGGTGCCCAGGAGAGGCCAAGCTATGAGCCAGTGCAGCTGCCGCTAGTGCCAGGCCTGGGGCCGCTTATCAAGCTGAATGGGGCCGCTGCTGCTTGTTTGAGAGATTTTAGGAAATCCTAAGCATAAGTCTTGAGAGGCCACTTGCACAGAAAAGCCCCTGGAAATGGCCTGGATGAGCTGCAGGTGGGGAGGGGCGGGGCCTCCGGGAGTCACGGGGCGGGGCCAAGGGTGTGCGTCCGGTGCTGGCGATGCAAACATGGCGCCTGCCTGCCGGCTGTGAGCAGGGAGGACTCACCAAAGGAGCAATCGCCTCTGCCTGCTTTTCTGCCTGGGAGGAAGCCGCCCTCCGCCTCTTGCCCCGACTTTAGGTAGGTTAGTTCCTCCCCAAATGTCCCAGGGTCCCTTTAAGCTGCTGCTCGGTGCTGAAGCCCAGAGGGAGCGTCCGAGTGAGTCCGTGCCGGGCCCTTAAGAGGAGCTGCCGGGGCTCCCGCAGCCTCCGCGACCCTCAGGACAGTCCCCGCTGGTTTCACAGCCCAAAGTTGTTGGAATTTCCCTTCCCAGCCCTGGGCTGGGGTCTGTTGTAGGGCTGGGACCTCTCGCTCCTCTGGGAAACCTCTGCCACTGAGATTCCCCCCTGGGTTTCCCCGCGGCACCGGGTGTGGGCCCGTGGCCGTGTCTCCGGGATCCAGCCCTGCCCCGCCCGCGTCTCCCCCTCCTCCCGGTCTCGGTGCTGCCTCAGCTCCCTGGTTGCGGGGCTTCTGTGCAGCTGGACCTCAGGAGGCTCTGAGGGATGGTGGTTCTGTGTTTTCGTTGTGATTTTGATGTGGCTGCGGGAGGTGGCGGGGGCAGCTGTGACCTACGCCGCCATCTTGTTTCTCCCTCTCCGGTAAGGCCTTGAACTTTAAAGGTAATAAACAGGAGGTGAAAGAAGATAGAAAAGGTAAAAGTTTATTGACTTGTTCTTTGCTGTTTTCTATATTTCTCTCAGTTCTCAAAATCATCCTTTAGTTTAATTTACTTATTGAAGCAGTTAATGTTTTTTATTATCCCATTCACACAGATAAAAATATTAAAATGCACTTACTAAGTGGAACATGAAAGATAATTCTGACAAGTGCTTACACTTCCTTCATTGTAGACAGTTCTTGTACATAAAACACTATTAAAAAAGACAGTTTATCATCTATCCATTACAAAAAAAGTGCTCAATTTAACACACAAATATAACTTTCTCCTATTCTTCACAATAATTGTGTCTCTTAACTTGCTTTTCTTTCACCCATACAGTATTTATATATGTTTTGTAGGCCATTGGCATTTGAGAAAATGGGAAGAAATGATTGTTTTATTATCAAAATAGAGATCTTAATGAAAAATATGGTCTTTAACGTTCAAGCTGTGTTTTTTAAAAAGGCACAAAAATCTTATTACAATAATATCCTGGTTGAAAATGTTAACGAATTTAGTTTTTTTAAAATTTCAGTAATAATAATAATGGGAAAATCCTTTCACTGCTTTTATTAGTGAGACTGACTAATCTGACATTATAAAAGCCATAACCAATACTCAGAATCCAAGATGTACAGGACCTCTGTCTACATTTGATGTTATGCAAAAGACTTGATGTACATAAAAATGCAGATTCTTCGGTCCTGCACCCAAAGATGCCAATTCATTAAGTCTGCAGATTCACCTGGAAATCTGCACTTTTAACAAACAACTGTAGATGATTTTGCTATTGGCAGTCCAAGGGCCATTCCTGGAGAAGGTGGTTCTGTAGATCCTCTTGACATGTTAACAGTGCAACCCAGCACTGCCTGCCACTCTCTGGTGGCATGGCTTTTACTAAATATTAAACAAAGATCTTCAGGGTAATGACTTTATTGCACTTTGATATTTTGAAATACATTCTGAATTATCCCCATTATAATGAATATAAAAGGGCATATCTGATAACTCTCTATATCCATAATACATGTTTGGCCAGAACACTCTGGTTAGATAATAGAGGTGGGGCTGCCTATTCACCCAGTTTTGAAATCTAAATGAACTGTTAGAATTCAAATAAAGGGCCCTAGCTTATCACCATTATATATCAGAAAACTGATTATGTCATTTAGAGCAAATATTCATAGATGGTGCCTATACATTAAAAAGATGTTGAAAGGGTAAAGAGGAAGGGTTGAATTTAGACAAAGACCTGGTTATTTTGACAACTGGTATATAACTTTGTCTGTTTTGCTGAATTTCACCAGCTACTGCTTCTGTTTATCTTTTTAAATCAATTTAGCTGTGTCGATGCAAGTGAGATTTGAAAAAGCTTCTGGTGAATACTAGACTGCCTCTGAATAGCTTCATCACAAACACCTGGGGACGGGGAGGAGTCAAGAAGTTGTTGCACCAGAGAACAGCTTTTCTCCTCCTGCATCAGACAGCTGGACTATTTCTACAAAGGAGGCCAGATAAACTCTCACAAATGAGTTACAAGGTAGAGTTCCTGTGGGAGCCAACTATTTACTTCCTCCCTTCTTATCCCTCTTTTCTCCTACGTTGGCATCCTGCAGAAGGGAAGGGAAGGGAAGTGTGGTAGAATGTATTATTTGTTAACAATTCTTCCTTCTATTCCCTTCACTGTGCCATGATTTCATTAGGTAGATTATGTTTCTCTGTCCCATTGACTTTGAGCTTGGCCATATGACTTGCTCTGGTCAGGGGAAAGTGGGCAGAAGTGATCATGAATGAGTTCTGAGCTGAGATGTTAAATGGCATTGAAAAGTTCTGCTAGACTCTTCTTATACTTCTATCATCTACCATGAGAAGAGCATGACTTAGGAAGATACTGATTCCAATTCAGATATATGTGGAACAGGCCTCAATCTGATTCACAGCCTTAAGCAGAGCTTCCATAACTGACCCAGAGACACATGAGTGAAAATACTGTAAATGTTGTTTTAGTAAGCCACTAGGGTTTTGAGGGAGGATGTTTGTTATGCAGCAGCATCATAGTATTAGCTGACTGATACAGGAAGGTAACCTCCATTTACTCAGGACTCAATCCTTGCCAAATACCATTTACATTAGCTGCTTTAATCTACAAAATTTCCTTCTGAGGTATAATAATGCGCTCAGAGAGGGCAAGGACCCACAGTTAATAAGTGGCTGAGCCAGAAATTCAAATTCACATGTGCCCATGTCCAAATACAGTGATTATTTCATGGCTTTTCCTCACCTTACTGCAGTTTACACTACAGGTGATAACAACAACAACCTAAAAATAATCTTACTCTTTGATGAAAGTCCTTAGAGTTCATTGGATTTTCATTGATCTTTTTTCATCAATAAGAAAATGTCCAGTTACTAATTGGGATATTTAGTTCTGTTTAGTTCTGCTCTACTATATTGAATCACAACCCATGTGATTTGAAATGGTAAGTCTGTAGTTAGGAAAGTACTGTGCTTTAGAAACCATAGGAAGACTTAAAATAGATTGGAATATTCTGAGATTATAGGTATGAGAGAAAATTTACTAGATAAAAACTAGTTGAGCCAGTGTTTGGAGTTTTTTCACCAAAGCAGACAAACTCCATAGAAACTGCTCAGGACCCTCCCTCTGACCCCACTGGGGGAGAAGGCACTCAAAAGGCACCACCAGCCCTATCTGGTTTGCTCTGTAGTTAGAATGTCAACCTGCAGACTGAAGGGTCCCAGGTTCAGTTCCAGCCAAGGGCACATACCTCAGTTGCAAGCTCATCCCCAGCCCTGGTTGGGGTGCATGCAGGAGGCAACCAATCGATATGTCTCTTTCACATTGGTGTGTTATCTCTCCCCCCCTCTTCCACTCTCCCTGAAAAGAAATAGAAAAAACATCCTCGGGTGAGGATTTTTAAAAAAAGGCACCACCAGTATTGTTACTATCAATATTCAGAAAGAACAATATTTTCCAAGTCTGGCTATACATTAGAATCATTCGGGGAGCTTAAGAAAAAGAAACATCTGGGCCCTGCTGCCAAACATACTCCTACAGAATTTCTGGGTGAGAGATTAGGCCTCTGTATTTTTTAAAGTTCCCGTGGTGATTTTAATATGCAGCCAGAGTTGCATCTCATTAAACTGGAAGATGGGACACAGAAGATGTAGTTGCTGACATGTTAAAAACCAATTCCATTCAATGGCCCACACCTGGAGATTGAGTGAGACTCAGCTTTGTGCGTCGTTGAACTTACTACTCAGTGCTCTCCTATTATTCTTTATCATTTCTCTTTCCTGCATTGAATATTTACTGAATCCATATTTATTCACTGAAATCCTTATCTGTGTCAATTCCTAAAACAGTGTTTACCAAGAGCTAGACTGTAAAACTCTAGAGTTTGCAAGGAATTCACTAAAACTGAGGTCACTAACAATAGGAGTGATGTCACTGGCTTACTAGCCAAATAAATTCAATTAATTAATTAATTAATAATTTTAAAAAGCAAAGACCGTCATATTGATTCTATACATGATTCACAGTCTCCTATAACTATTTCAAAGCACTGACACTCTGGTTTAATTTGCACATTCAACTTCCCAAGAATCAGCTTTGATTTGCATAGCCCAAGATTGATATCATGTATGCTGACTTGCTCCTGCATACAGAGACCCCTTGTGGCACTTACCTGAGTGCCTCCCCAGTTTATGTGGGAAACTTTCTATTTCTTTTACAGTAAGGTACAACTCCCTTACTGCACTGGTGGCAATTAATTTCAGTACGTTTGAATGAAAATAATATCTAACATTTATGGAGTACTTTCTATGTGCCAGGTACTGTTCTTAGTGTTTTATGTGCATTAATTCATTTAATCCTTAACCTAATGAGGTAGGTGGTTTATTATCCCCATTTTACAGATGATAAAACTGAGACACAGAAAAGTTGAGGTACCCAAGGTCACACACTTATTATATGATAAAGCTGGAATTTTAACCCAGCAAGTTTAGTTTCAGAATCTGGATTTTTAGCCATTGAAATATACAACATCCCCCCAATAGGTAGGAGGCCTGTGTAGGTACATTTTAGGAGAGGATGTAGAACAACTGATACTCTCCTCACTGGTAGTGGACGTACAGATTGGTACAAGTACAGACAAATTGTTTGGCATTATCTACTAAAGCTGAACCAATTCTTACCCTGTGATATAGTAATTCCTGGGTATATACCACACAAAAATGTGTACTTATGTTGATGAAAAGACATGAATTTGAATGTTTATAGAAGCACTACTCATAACAACACTGAACTGGGAACTAGCCAAATGCCCATCAACAAAAATTCTGGCATATTTACACCACTATGCAGCAATGAGAATAACCAATTTATAACGACATGGAGTAATAAGGATGGATCTCACAGATATGTCCAATGAAGGAAGTCAGGAAAAAAAGAGCACGTGCTGTTCAATGCCATTTATACAAAGTTCAAAGGCAGGCAAAAAGGATTCCTGTCATTAGGGGTCAGGCTGTTGGTTACCCTTAGGGTAGGAGTTGTGACTGGAAGGAGTATTTGGGGAAGCGGGCTTCTGGGATACAGGGAAGTCTTCTTTCTTGATATGAGTACTGACCACAAGTGTGTGTTTAAGTTTTGGAAATTCAGTGAGCTGCACATTTAGATTATATGCACTTTTCTGTATATATACTACATATCAATAAAAACTTTGAAAGGGTACTATATGTGATCAAATATTATCTAGAATTAGGAGATTTAGGTAAATATTTTAAAATAAACACATATTTAAGGGAAAATCATTATAGGCAATCAAAGGATAAGTTTCTAGTATCTCTAGTTCTTTCCTTCTTTCCTACTTCTTACTACAAATGCCAACCTGATGAGCTAATAATAATAAGAGAAAGTGATTGAATCAATGAGGCACATAAAATGGGTTCAGTGTGCTCCTGCTCACATCTAGACGGGTTCAAAGGCAGGGTGACTAATGTGAGCTGTAATAAGCTGCAGTTGGTAGAAGGCATCAGAACAAAGCGTCTATGGCTTGCTCACTTTTGTGTCTTCTGTAACCCCCACTTACAGGGGTGTGCGGAGCAAGTGAAAGCAGAAGATAGGTTTCTTTTGTAGAAATCTTCAAGAATGAGGAAATAGAGGTCTAGGGTGAGGAGCAACTCCACATGATATTCTACTGAAGGGCAATACCTCTTAAATGGAAGGGGTTTCCCTCAGAATTGTCATTACTCCTGCAGCCCCCATCCCGGGGGAATCAACCAATTAGCCACTCCCTACACATTTGAGAGGTACCCTCCAATTCACAATGCCCCATTTATCCCATTTCTGTTGTTGAGAGAGAAAGACTTCATCAACTGCCACAAAGGCAATGCTTTGCCAGGGAAAGCACTACTTTTGTTTGCTTAAGAAGTTTGCCTGTGAAAAACTTTCATCACTTCAGGTGCCTTTAGCCGAGTTCTTAGTTCCATAGAAAGAATTTTTAAATCCAGGTAAAAATTTGTAATTAAAACAGCCATAAAATTTACCTCTGTATTAGTAAATAAAATGGTTCCCTTCATTATCCCTTTATTGTCCCAACCCATGAATCCGGCCACCTTACCTTAAATAGAAGCCATGAAGCCACAACCTCTGTTTTCCTTCTTTTCTTCTGTGAATGGCACAGAATTATGGATAATATAATATGAGATAACTGTGGCAAATACTTTTCTTGGAGTTCTGCTGATTATTCTCAAGGAAAAATTATATGAAAAGTAACTAATTTGATTTACTTACTGAATTCACTCAATCATTTAGTGAATTTGCCTCTAGGCCTGATCTCCAGTTGCATTGTAAATCTCAAACTATTTTCAGAATCAGATTTATTCCCCCCTCATTCTCCCCATCATGTCTCCCATCCGTCTCCCTGTCTCTCCATTACAGACTCATCAACTACCCGCCTGAAGTCTTTTTTCCATGTAAGGATTTAGTGGGACTAAAGCTGAGAATTCCAATATGGCTTCAATAGTGGGAAGATTTCCCTGTAGATGGGCCTACTGCCTGTGTACATTGTTCATCACCTCAGCCCAGTGTTTTGGGGCCCTTGGGTTGGATATGAGAACAATCACCAACTTTCAAAGCCCTTTCAATGTTCTTATGACAACAAAGTTGTGGCTTCCAACTTCCATTATTATTGTAGACTGGATTTACTGAGGAGCTACAGAGGGGGAACAAAGGGTCCTCATGAAGCAAGGTGTCCCAGTTGAGTCCCGAATCAGGAGTCAGTGTGTCAGCAGTACCCCGGAGCTAAGGATGCCTGGTGTCCTGGTTTTGCTTGAGTTGATTTAAGGTGCTTTGCATTTGGGACAAAAATAGGAGGAAAGACCTCTGGAGAGAAGGGCAAGGGGAGACAAATCTTTGGCCTAGTGTCCGCCCTGTGCCTGATCTGATGAGTGTCCTGAGATCCTAGAAAGAGAGGGGTCACGGCCTAAGGCTGAAGGGACTCTGTTCATCAGAGATTCTCT